CACTGTTCAATCTTAACATGTGAAATGGAAGAAGAAGAAAATGACAGTGAAATCTCAAAGTATTGAAATCACGGAGCGCAGCATTTAAGCATATGTCGTTTAAACTTCTTTAGAAAATATTAGATTGTCGTATCGGATGGGGTGGAGAATCTATTGTTTATTCATATCCCCTCTAAATTTAGCTGGAGGATAGTTTCAGTTTATCCGCTAAATTTAGTGGGTAAACTGCATTGGTGCATCGGATAGACGACATAAATTTCCCTGCAAAATATGGCGAGGATATTGAATGGTTATGTGAGTCACCTGACGTCGCTATCCCTGCTAAATTTAGCGGGAAACTGAATTGGTGTTTAAGTCACGTGATGTTCTTTTCTTCGCTAAACTTACGGTGGAAACTGAATTGGTGTGTAGTTAGTTTGGCGTCGAGTCACGTGAAGTCATGCTATCAATCAGAAGGACGGACGAACATATATCTGCGATTAGAGGGTTCCGCTAAAAAGCATATGTTAAAAAATAAAATTTCGATTGCAGATCGAATGAAAATACTACAAGAAATGTGAATTACGTAGGCCGTTTCATTGTGGTTTAGTCTTTGACTACTGCTTGGATGCAAACAATTAGAACAAAATTATATAAGATCTCTACATATGATTATTATCGTCTAGAGATTAATGCCTGTACTTCCGTTCCCGAGTAATTACCTAATAATAAAAGGCAACTCTATGCTGTTGTTTCTATGCATCTTTTTTTTTTCTTTTTTAAACAAGCATCAACTTTTCGCGCTAATATATATAAAAACAGATACAGTTAATGGATTCTAGATTTTCAGAATATACCTGGTATTTTGCTTGCATTTCGAGACGATGAAAGCGCGTACTTCACTTCGGTTTGGAGATGGCACGCTCAGCTGCGTGTTGCAAATTTTGCCACGGAAAAAGGTTCAAAACAAATGCCTTTGCTTTACGAAATAAATTCAAAAGCCAAGATAGTTAAGGAGCTCACTATTGGACGTCTACATTAAAGAGAATCGGATATTCGTAGATTATGACACGTTGAGTCAGTAAAATACAGTCTTTTCTGCCATGTTGGTCTTCTTTCAATCACAGAGGTATTTAAAAGCAGCTAGCACAGCGCATGAAACAAGCCCTTGTGGATCAAGGTGTTTATCGGGACAACCAGTATCTACTTACAAAGTTGCACATCGACTTTACAAACTCAGGTATGGTTTTATTAATTTGATGCCTAATTCCTTCCCAGGTTTTATTCACCTGCAAAAGAAAGAACAAAATAACAGCTACAAATTTGCATCATAATGTATGTGCACCAAAAAGGTCGTAAAGTATGTGCTAGTTTACTTTGAATACGCCACTAGGTCTCTAAGCCAGGTGGCAAATTATATCAAGGCGCAATACCTGCAACGAACTCAGCAGAGAGGAGCGACAATTTTTGTGTTGTGGTTATTCTTTTTTTTAGAAATGCTGTCCCAATTAGCAGATTCGCAAGACTGCTTGTAGATTTTTTGGCTATTGATTTTAGATGCCTCGACATTTAAGAAAATCATTCAGCTTGTCAGCGAATCAATCCTTAAACAAGTAACATTTTTGGTTGTTCTGTGTGCCTATTTGGCGTAGGTGGCGGTAGCCTGGCGTGAAACCCTATATTACATCTGGTCGATTAGGTATTTATAAGGTGACCTTTTTAGCCGAATATAAATTTACAATAACAAACAATAAATAATTTTAAAGTGCAATTCAATAAACTATAAAAACTACGGATAGACAATCTGATGAAATAACAAGTATTATCGTTATAAGAAATTACAGAAAAGAAAACAGAAGGCCACAATGTATGCTTGTTGGAAGTGCCGCTTTTAAGGTAAAAGCCCCCTTTCTCCCGGACAGTTCCAACGCCTTTGGACCCGTGACTCGAGTACGAGCATAGGCCATACATACATAGACGAAAAGTCTTCAATTTCCTGGGAGGGGGAAGGGGAGGTTTCCAGAGTGAACGTATTTGCCTTCCCGAGGAGTTCCTTTTGGGTGCGGAAAGGGGGGGGGGGGGGGGGGGGGGACTTTGTTTTGTTTATATTGGGAAATCTCCGGAAAGGCTAGGAGGATAATGTCCCCAAGACCACCCCGCCCCCCCCCCCCCCTCCCTAATCCGTGCCCACGCAAACCAAGACCCTGACTGATAATGCGCAAGTATTTATTGTTATTGTCTAAATGGATTGATCGCCTATTTATGGTAGTAACTCAGTCTACGGCCTCTAAGCATCCTAAAAAAGGCCCTTCATGGGCCGCCGATTTCCCTTTTAAAGTATAATCAAAGACCGTAACACGCCCCTCTTTCCGCGCATGGGAGCAGACACCAGGGGGCGCGGTCAGACGGCGTTTTTGTACAATAATTGCTGTATTACGTCTCTACACCCAAATATGTGATGTCTTTGTCGATATATAATACACAACGCGCCTAAAAAGGCTAATAATAGTAATATTTGGAATCTCCATGCAATTACCTATTTCCATTGGTCCAATTTTCTGGAGGCGGTAGGGAGCCAAGGATGTCGTTAAAGTGTTTTTCACAAGTCGTTTTTTTTTTTTTTTTTTCTTGTAAAATACAAAGCGTAGCTTCCTTTCTGTAAAAATACGGCCAAAAACTTGCCAGGGTCAGCGGCGGACGGCGACACAGACCACCGAGTCGAGTTGCGGGGCGCCTTTGGCGCGCGTATTGATAGATGACGTCAGGAGCACCGTCGGAAGGTGTAGCCGACCAGCGAAAGAAAGCAGACGACACGCAGATGAAATCCGTTGGCAGCAAAAGCGCAAAGCGCCGTCGTTATGCAAACGCGTTGAGTTTTGTAGCGTGAGCTACACTAGCCGAGGTTGAGCAGTCTCGCGTGGCTCCCAAAGAGCCGTGCTGCACATGCGCGAGGAGCAGTGACGTCACACGGCGCACAGCTGGCGCGCCGGAGCCGCGGCCGCCGCGCGCGCCTCGCCAATCTGCGCATTCCAGAGGAGTGATGACATAGCCGCGGCAGACGCACTGGCGCCGCCGCGTGCCCAGCTCTGCGCCTCCGTTGCCCAGTAGCCAAGTCTGACGCTACACCGGAGCCGCTTGATAGCACCTCTCATTTTGTGCGCATAAGCTCACGCTACGTATATCCAGGCATAGCCGAGCTAAGCCACCGCATTTTTTTACTTTAAGTTCTGCTTTTATTGTCTGCATTTTTTGTGCAACCAAAGGTAGAGTAGAAAAAGATTATGCTCATTTTAATGAACCACGGCGGTCGCGTGCAGTCGCGAATATTATCCAGTGCTTTAGTCGCGATAAAGAAGCAGCGCCATCTATCAATAAGAGCGCCAAACGCGCCCCGCAACTCGACTTGGTCGTCTGCGTCGCCGCCCGCCGTTGACCCTGGCAAGTTTCTTGGTCCTATTTCTTTACAGAAAGGAAGCTACGCACTCTAATTTTACAAGAAAAGACCGACCTGTGAAATATACCAATGACGAAAAGTTTCGATTGCTACGTGCAGGCGCCGATTTTTACGGCCCATTTTAGATCGAGCCTGGTGACTCCAGTCACGATATATAAAATTTTCTAAACAAAAAAAAACAAAAAAAAGCAGGAAATTGTCAAAAGATAGACTTACTATTGGGGGCAAAAGATTGAGCGTGCAGTTGTAAACGGCTTCCGCATGGCTTGAATTCCTATACTGTGCCCCTGATACACACACAAAAAAAGAAGATATTGATAAACATTTTAAACGTTTTAGATGTGAATATATGCGTTGAAAGCGAAAAATATATTTGCGTGCTTCATCTAATATGCTTAATATTTAGATTCCAAACAATTCACGAGAGAATTGGTTATTTGAGCCATCAATCCGAATGAAAAGCAATGAATAACTAAATGAAAATGCTAAGTTCAATTTCGGCAATTGAGTATAGCTAAATTCTGTACTCATAAAGCGCGTTCTTGTTTTTAAGTCAGGCGCACTGCAAACATATCTTTTGCTCCCTACACAAAATATGTTTCCACTGTTACCGCATCTCACTCCGCGCACCATTAATTTTCTTATCTTAGTGGTTTCGCGAGTCAAACTGCTATTTCTGTACACATCTAAAGAATCTTTGCATTGATCGCTATGGAAAAATTCCGATGCACTGCATTGCTATCGATTTATCTTTTATTTATTAATTTATTTAAAAAAAACATAAAAATGCCTCACAACGTGAGATATTCAATTACACTTACCGCACAATCCAGGATTGTTTCTATAATGACGCTCGTAGAGACTTTGTGTAGTAGTTTTCACTCTGGATACTTGCTCGTGACCGTCTTCGCTGGACGAACACGGGCTTCCTAGAAACGAAATCGCCAAAAGCGCACAGGTGAGCGCAGTTCTCATGGCTGGTAGATCCTTGCTCCGAAACCTCAGGGCCGTGAGTAACAGAAGTCACAATCCTTCGCCGATATATATACCTACGAGCTCGCAAGCACCAACCAACGTCACTGAATGACGCTAACAACCCCGAGACCAATGATAGGTCTTTTTTTTAACATCATAACAGTGGCGTTGTTGACGATTCAGTTCCGCCTATTAGCTCCTGTGAACTCCCGCGGAGGTCACTCCTAATGTTGCTATCGGTTCGAAAGGTTAAGCGGAAACATTTGCCTTATGCTGATTATTAAAGTTTTTTCTGCTTTTATTCGTTTTCTTTTCCGAGCTGAAATTATGAAATATCACACTTCTCGCCTTTCCACTGCGTCTTTATACTTGCCTTTATTCATGAAAAAAGAAACACCCTTAACGCTGTGGTTGTAAATAAACGTTTGCAGCAAAAAGATTGTGCAATCGGCAAGTAAACGAAAGTTAAACAGCATATGGGATGTCAAATTGAAAAACTGCTTTGGAGAAATGTTCACGTTATAATTTCTTAGATGTTCAGTCGTTTTATTTATAAAGTATATATTTATGTGGGTTATTTTTAATTGCAATTTATGGTCGGAGGTGTAAAAGTCGACTTTTTTTTATACACAAAGAGCGCAATAAACGTGCTTGGAGTCCTTAATCCCAGAACTTTGTTCGACGTATACCCTTGGCGAAACCTTGAGAGCTTAACCAATAAGCTTGAACACATTAAATCACGCCCTGCATTCGTTAAAGGAAACGTACAGTCAACGGCGTACCAACTTGTTTTTGAGGGGGAGGGGGGCAAACCAGACCCCCCCCCCCCCTCAGGGCCGGGGGGGGGGGGGGGGGGGTGCCCGGCAATAGATTGCCACGCCGAGCTTAGCCCCCCAGGGGGGCTAAGCTCGGCGCGGCGAGATCGAGGCGAGTTCTCCGCCAAACTCGCCGACCACCGCGATTGGTCGGCGCCGTGCATGACGACACGCGCCGACACTCCCTAGATCGTGACGTTAAACGGAGGGTTTGAGGCGGTCGGAGAGTTCCATATTCGGAACTCGCGGCGAGATGCGGTGACGTCATTGCGACGTGGCAGAAGCCGCCGCGGATGGGAAAAGCTTGCCGGCTCCGACCTAGGCGAGTTTGGGCGAGTTGGGCGCGAGATCAGGGAGAAGCGTCCAAAATGGCAGCGTTTTCGTTCGTGTTTTGCCGTCGGCATAGGTATTTAAACCACGCCAATGTGTTGGACAGGGACGACGTTCATTTTCAACAACACTATCGCCCCTCGAAAGACGTGGTAAGGTGGCTGTGCGATGAACTGCGTGGCGAACCGGGCTTGAGGCGATGGAGCCGTTAATGAACCGTCGCCCCCGTCGTGATCCTACATCCAAATTCTACAAAGTGAATCCTAGAAACAAATTTGTTTTTACGGCAATCTGCAACCAGGAACGCAATTTACCATTACCTTCAGGCTTTTACAATTATTTTGATGGGTTGCTGTGCTGCGTAGATGCAAGATAAACGCACTTGATAAAATTCAAACTAAAACAGATGATAGAAGAAAAGAAATATACATGAATGGCGCAGACTAACAACAGTGTAATTTCTTTCTCATCTTTCTTCTTCCACACCGTATTTTGACAAACAAATTGGCCGTTAGTTGTTTATACAGCAGGACAACATGCCAGAACATTGCGACATTGTCACCTACGGTAGCTAAGCAATTTAGCCAGTGCAGTATGACTGCTAGCCTAGGGTCTTTAACGTTCACCACGTAGTAGTGATACACGACCGCATGCCGGTACGATGCTCATCAGCATCGAAAAGGGCAGGGGTGGGGGTGAATCCACCCCTGCCCTTTTCGATGCTGATGAGCATCGTACCGGCATGCGGTCGTGTATCACTACTACGTGGTGAACGTTAAAAACCCTAGGCTAGCAGTCATACTGCACTGGCTAAATTGCTTAGCTACCGTAGGTGACAATGTCGCAATGTTCTGGCATGTTGTCCTGCTGTATAAACAACTAACGGCCAATTTGTTTGTCAAAATACGGTGTACGCGAGCTTTCGCTCCACGTACACCCTATTCTGAGAAAAAAAAATATATTGTGGCTGTGTGGCGGTGTGGGGGGAGAAAGATGAGAAAGAAATTACACAGTTTTTAGTCTGCGCCATTCCTGTATGTTGTTTTTCGTCTATACTCTGCTTTAGTTTATATCTTTATCAAGAGTGTTTTTCTTGCATCTACGTGGCGCAGCAAACCATCACAATGTCAACTAGCCCACATCCAAGCAATGTTTGTATAATTAGCATCCCTGCTGTTACCTATTCTTATTTGTCATTTACGATGTAAATGAAAAAAATTGGGCTGTATGTATGTTGATACTGCCTAAAACTTGGTCCGCTTCAACGGGGAAGATTCTCCCAGCTGTAGATGAGAAATTTAGCCGTGCAGTGCCGTACAACCGCTAGCCTGGGGTCTTTAACGTCCATCCCGCAGTAGTGTTAAGCGGGTTTCACATGCAGCGATTTTGGCCCTAAAGCGGCGCGATTTCTGCCGTCGCGGCGCTCGTGCCGCAGAATTGCTGGTGCTGGCCAGAGCGCCGCGACGGCAGAAATCGCGCCGCTCTAGGGCCAAAACCGCTGCATGTGAACTAGGCTTTACACGACTGCACGCCGGTACGATGCTCATTAACATCGAAACGGGCAGGGGTGGGGATTGAACCCAGCATCCTGGGTTCTGCAACGGACCTTTCGCTCGACGTGCTCCGAGATGGTGTGCGCTAGCCCAGCCGGCCACCGATCCTCCGATTTAAATAAAATAAAAACCCTTCACTGCGGAGCGTAGGGAAAAATCGGAGCTACGCTGGGGAACTCGCCGCCGCCGGAGGGGGTCGGAAATGTAAGAGGGGGAGTGGGAAACTCGCCGGGGCGGAGTCAAAAGAAGCTCCTCCCCTCCCTCGTGACGTTGCATCGGAGAGATTCCCGCCGGAGGCGAGCTTAGCCCCCCAGTTCGGCGAATCTGGTGACCAGTTCGGCCAATCTGGTGACCAGTTCGGCCAATCTGGTGGCCAGTTAGGCCAATATGGTGACCGCTCAGGTCAATCTGGTGACCAGTTAGAAGGCAATCTGGTGACCAGTTAAATCAATATAGCTACCAGGTAGACAAGTCTGCCTAGCAGTTGCACCAGTTCGATTTCCTGTTAGACCAGTGTGACCAGCAAAACACATGCCTGCCCCCCCCCCCCCCCCCCCCCCCCGCCCCCGGTTTGGTACGCCCATGCGCACGGCTATGTTTCGAGCTATCCACAACCAACGGAACACATTTTCGGAATATCCGTGCTTTGCTCTCCCAGTTTTCTATTTGTTATCTCTTAGAAAATGGCAAATTTATGTCACGCCAAAACCAGCATTCAAATTTTTCCGCGCCGACAGCGGGGTGACACAACAACACCTTGAAGATGTAAGGGGAATGGAGCGCAAAGCACTGTATATATTCACTTAGCAAAATGGACAATTGGGCGAGTTGGTAAGAGTTCACAATTACTTACAGCGCGACTGGGACAAGGACAGACAGAGCAGAAACACAGAAACACAGGACAAGCGCTGAACTAGCAACTGATTCTATTGAAAAGAAAAGACATCTGATGCTGCTGCTGCTCGTGCAGGCATGCCCCTCCGTGGCCCTGGCGCTTCTTCTTTCGCTCAATGCGAAACCGGCCAAGTTATCCGAGATCCAAAAAGCCGACCTCGCTCTTCATCAAAGCCACTGTGGGCTGGCTCACACACAAGGATCCGGTTTTTGTTATGTGGTACGGCTCCATAAATTCTCGGGGTAGTTTGTGGTTGTGTCGGAACATCACTGTAGTCTTGTTGAACAGGGGTTGTATTATGTTGCAGCCCTGGTCGCCGGCATAGCGACCACGAAGAAGAGATGCGTACGCCGCGAGCTTCGAACCCAAAAATCTGATCTTTATCGCGATGTGGATGCTCTATATACACAATGACAATGTTGCCGACACAACATATTCCCTCCCTAAAAACAACAACCCAAGAAACTAAATACAAAGAAATAAAGAAAGGAACAGTGTAACTGATAGCAAAAAAATAACAGTAACATAGTTCATTACAAAGTCTCTCTGCCAGGCAGGCTTTCTCCTCAGCAGAGGTGCTCTCGTTGTCCTTGTATTGACCTGGGCCGAAGCTGCGTCTGACTCCGAACAAGCCACTGAGGTCTCGGGTACCGCCGGTAGCGTTGAAGCCGAAACGGAATCCATCTCCGCGGTCTCGGTTGTCGCCGAAGAAGCCACGGGACCAGTCTCTGGGATCTCGGCTACAGCCGCCTCAGCCGACTCTAGCGTTGACGCCGCTTGCTGTGATGCTGTCGACAGGCGCTTCCCCGCTTCTCCACAACCGGAAAGCTTCGACGCATTCCAGGTCCGGTTGTCGCTGAGGATGTAAGAACTTGGTCCATGTGTACCAGTAATAAGCATTGGGCGCGTATAGTGCGATGTCCCTTTCTTCGGTATGTTTGGCTTGCGAACCCTGACGAAATCGCCCGGCTTGAAGGTGGGCGCCCTTGCTCCCCTCTTGGAGTCTGTGTAGCGCTTGCTGTAAGCCTGCCGCTGCTGTACTCGCGCTCTGAGGTCAGCTAATTCAGAGCTAGGGTTCACAAAGAACTTTGATGACGGGAACCCCACAATGTCCAGCCTTGACCGGGGAACTCGACCATGCAGGAGCAGAGCAGGTGGCACCCCCGTTGTGGCATGAGGTGTGCACCTGTAAACGCCCAGGTACTCCAGGACGGCCACTTCAAGAGGCCGGTGCTCCAGAGCTGCCGTCTGGATGAACCCTTTGAAGACCTTGTTAAACCGCTCCACCTGCCCGTTGCACTGTGGGTAATAAACCGACGAGCAGCGGTGACAAATTCCTCGTTCTTTCAGGAAGTTTTCAAAGGCTGCCGACTTGAACTGCGACCCATGGTCCGTCAGAATTTCATC